GCCTAGCTTAAAAGGCAAGCCTTGTAACAATAAACTCAGACCTTGACACGAATTTGCTTGGTCTCGCTCTTCTTTTCCGCCCGTTTCTCTTTCAGGCTGGGTCCTCCTCGCCCCCACGAATAACTGAGTCCCGCGGGTCGGGGCAAAAACCAAATTCAGTTAAGGAGATATAAGCAAGATACCGTAAGACATAACAGAGATCTTTGAAACTGAAGTTGATATGAACTTACTCTATATGAAATGGGGCAAAATTTAAATATTTAATTTAGGTCAGTGATCTAGTCAAAGCGGTGCCCTCAGAAGAGTGCATAGGCCGAAACAGGTGAAATAAATAATGAGAGGCTTGCCCAGAGACATGTGAAAGTATGAGACCTTGGGGTCTGGGGTTGAGGCAAGGAATGAAAAATGGAAATTGTATGGCCGGATCAATGCCAGGCCAGCTTCTAGCAGCAAGTGACCTTGAATCTCCCCCACTCATGCCGAGCTGACCAGAGCTAGCTGAAACAACTAGCAGTGAGTGACCTTGAATCTCCCACACACACCTGCAGAGCTGACCAGAGCTGGCTAATGGCCCGCTTTATTCTCGACCCACCGCTCTGCACTCAGCACGGCCCATTTGGCTCAGTGCCCGCACCAGGCATGGCCTGTTTGGCTCAGTGTCCGCTTTGTTCTCGCCCGCTCCTCTGCACCCGGCACGAATACACCCAGAACCAGGAAGACACCTTACATTCCAGAAACCCGGACATACCTCCCAATCCCTGACTACTTTACCTTATATGGACTCAAGACAGCCCACTCACATGTTCCCTGGCCATATAAGCACCACTCCTGTAGACTGGGGCGCAACTCCCTTGGCCCGGACACTGTGGATCGTGGGACTTCGCCCAGGCTGGGTTTTTATCTCCCATAAAGCCTGTTTGTTCTAATTCGATTGATTTGGTTTCTGGTGCCTCTCAACTACCTTACAGAAATGATTAATGGTTTCTAGACTGAAATATTCTCCAGTAAAAGGGTAAGGAACACTAGATAGAACAGCAGTTCTCAACCTGTGGGTCACAACCCCTTTGGGGGTCAAACGACCCTTTCACAGGGGTCGTCCAATTCATGACAGTAGCAAAATTACAGTTATGAAGTAGCAATGAAAAATTAATTTTATGTTTTGGGGGTTACCACAACATGAGGAACTGTATTAAAGAGTCATGGCATTAGGAAGGTTGAGAACCATTGATCTAGAACATAGACAATGGACACCAAACTCTCTCCTTTGTGATGAGTTAATGTTTGATAATATCCAGTGCCCTTTGGACCTCCGCTCAAGTACTCCCTCAATGCAAGAACACTTTGCTCTATTAAATTGGCATTCCATGATGCACACCTTCCCAACACGATTGCTGAAGACAAATGTATGCATAAGCAAATGTGGTGCAGAAAGCTGATGGTGCCCGGCTATCAAAAGATATAGTCTCTGGAGTCACTACGGGTAATGGCTTACAGGTAAACAAGCAGCCATTTAGTTCAGAAGCAACAAATCCCACATGGAAGAAGCACACCAGCCCATGTGACCACGAGGTTTTGAAGGGATCAGGTATCAGGCATCAAAGAACAAAAAAATCATATCATTGTAAATGAGGGTAAGTGCAGGGTGGAGACCCAAAGCCCATCTGTAGGCCACTGGACACCCCCTCACTGAAGGGTTGCGGGGGAGGAGACGAGCCAGTCAGGTTTCAGGGTAGCAATGATGAAACATACAACTTTCCTCTACTTCTTAAATGCTTCCTCCCCTCCACTATCATGATCCCAATTCTGCCTTACAAATATGGCTAGACCAGAGGATGTACACTGATACAGATAGGAACAGGAAACACAGGGAATCCAGGACAGATGACCCCTTCAGGACCAGTGGTGAGAGTGGCGATACCTGGAGGGTGGAGGAAAGGTGGGGTAGAAAGGGGGAACTGATTACAAAGATCTACAAATAACCTCCTCCCTGGGGGATGGACAACAGAAAAGTGGATGAAGGGAGATGTCAGACAGTGTAAGACATGACAAAATAATAATTTATAAGCTATCAGGGGTTCAAGAGGGAGGGGGGAATCTGGGAGGGAGGGGGAAAATGAGCTGATATTAAGGGCTCAAGTAGAAAGCAAATATTTTGAGAATGATGATGTCAACACATGTACAAATGTGCTTGACACAATGGGTATATGTATGGATTGTGATAAGAATTGTACGAGTCCCCAATAAAATGATTTAAAAAAAATCCAGTGTCCTAATCAATATCCGTTTGTTTTGGGAAAGAGAGGGAATCAAATTGGTTATAGTGATTTTCCATAATCAGAACAATTTTTAAAACCCAGTAGACTTTAAAACTACTAGGGGCTCCACATTTCCATTAAAAAAATTCCATGAACGTTTTGAAATCCTGTAATATAAGGAGCCCTGGTTAAGCATTCAGCTGCTAATAAAATAAATAAATAAGGTCAGCAGTTGAAACTCACCCTCTGCTCTGCAGGAGAAAAGACTTAGCATTCTGTTCCCAGAAAGATTACAGCCTAAGGAGCCCTGTGTAGCAGTAGCAGTCTTACAGTGTCCTACAGGATCTCTGTGGATTAGAATAGATGGGATGACAAATAGCATCATCACCCTTGCTAAGGGTAGTGCAAGTTATTATCTCGATCAGGTGCACATCTAAAGGTTGGTGAGTCAAAGTTCCATTAAGGTGCCTCAGGAGGAAGACCTGGTACCTCTGTTAGAAAAATCATCCGTTGAAGACCTTGTGAAGCACGATTCTACTTTGACACATCCGGGGTTGCCATGAATCAGAATCCACCCAACAGCAACTAATTCTGGTAGCCTTTCAGGAGGTGATGAAAAAGACATTTTACCTGTGTGACCTTCCCCCAAACACATGACTCCAGACTAACTTTGAGAAAACCCCCGACAAATCCCCTCCAAGGAAGATCCTACTTAACGAACTAGTCCTCCTCCACATGGTCCACAAGGGAAATCTGAGAAACCATCACAAAGAGACAGGATGTTAGAGAGACAAGGAGAGACCCGAAATAAAGAATGGAGTTTAGCTAATACTAATGTACCAATATTGGCTGGTTATTTATAACAAATGTACCACACTAATGTAAGATGTTAATAATAGAAGAAACTGGTTTAGGGTGTTCAGGAACTATTTTCCTAATAATTCTGTAAATCTAAAATCAGTCTCAAATTAAAATTTCATCTAAATATGTTGTGTTTGAAATCATAAACAAATATTTAATATTTTTTATAAAGTTAAGTGAATCGTAGGGTCATTTTGAAACCAAGATGTTAGGAGTGAGGGAACATATCCCTTACTTCTAAATGCAACTTCATTCATTCACTGAACAGGCTTTCTGAAGTCCCTCTGAACCAGGCTCAAGGCCATGGAGTTGAGTCTGACTCACAGCGACCCTACGCCGAGTTTCTGAGACTATACAGCACGCCGAGTTTCTGAGACTCTACAGCTCTACAGGAGCAGAGAGGGCCACCTTTCAGCGTCACAAGGATGGGTTGGCACTAGTAGTCTCTAAAGCTCCCCAGGCGATTCCTTCCATGGAGGGAGAAATGCTATTTTTCAGTTGGTGCGCTGAGTGCTTAATCATTGTGCCACCAGGGATCCTTGAAAGAGTAGAGAAGAAAAATCCAAGTGGTGGGTCCTGAGAAGCAAAGAGAACCAACTGACTCCCTGGGACCTCTCACAGGAGCGGAGATGGAACCCCCAGCAGAGTCCCCAGGGACTTCCTGCACAGCTGGGGAAAACGGTGGAATCAGAAAGTGGTTGTGTTATATTATATGAAACCCAATAAGTTGCAGAAAGGTTCATCAATAAAGAGGTCTCCAAATAAAAAGCAAAGGAGTGGGAAAGGCCAGGTACCAGACAGGGAGAGCCTGGCCAAGCTTAACGAACAGATAATGACAGTAGACAGAACCGCACGCTTGCTAGTTGTCTGATTGGAACACGGGGAATGACGGGCTCCAGCGCCACACGTGTATCCACGCAGCTACTGCAGACCACTGTTCCTCAAGAATTCAGTTATTAAAACACAAATATCCCGGGTACCTGCCTTTAGAGCTCAAATGGTGAACTGCACAGATGTGGCCTGTTCTAATAGAAAACTGTGTTGAAATTTAGGGTATTCATGTTCCTAAAGTAGTTTTATAAGATGTTAGAATTTTGCCAAGATTCTAACCAGAGAAAAAACCCAAGATGATTCTTACACATGGAATAAGTTTATTCTAATTTAGAGATAAAAATTAGAGGTGTTATAATTAAACAGGATGATAGATGCCCTTCCAACTTCCTCCCATGCTTGATTTCAGGTCTGTTCAGTAGCTGCCAAACCTGGCGACAATACCAGAAATACCCGTGTTCGAGCCCCACCCTGGGTGTATGCAATAACTGAAATGGACTCTGCACTTGGCCTTGTGATAAGTGATTGAATTGTTATTCCTTCGTTTAATCGCCCCAGTTACTCTTTGAAGTGGGTACTATTATTATCGCCCTTGGAAAAAGGAACACACGGAGGTTCAAGACCTTTATGCACACTGCTCGTAAGAAGCCCTGGTGGTGCACACAGCTAAGCCCAAATCAAAAGGCTGGTGATTCTAGTTCACCCTGTGGCTGCCCTAGACAAAGGCTTAGTGATCTGCTTCCATACAGATCACCCCCAAGAAAACTCTCCAGGGCAGCTCTACTCTGACTTGGGATCACTAGAAGTCCAAAGGACTCTACACCACTTAGCAATCACACTGCTAGTAGATGATAGAAACAGGACATAAACTCAAACCCGGCTCTTCGCCTCTAATCTACATTGTGTCCAGATTTCAACAGTAGAATGTTTTCTTGACAGTTTAAAAAATCAATCAACAAGATTTTCAGCCAATGCTCGGGGCTCAATATGGCAGCAGCTTGGGAATCTGCTAAGCAGACACTCTCCTCTAGATCTGGATAAGGAATCTTTTTTTAATCATTTTATTAGGGGCTCATACAACTCCTATCACAATCCATACATACATCAATTGTGTAAAGCACATCTGTACATTCATTGCCCTCATCATTCTCAAAACATTTGCTCTCCACTTAAGTCCCTGGCATCAGGTCCTCATTTTATCCCCTCCCACCCCATTCCCCGTCCCTCATGAACCCTTGATAATTTATAAATTATTATTTTGTCGTATCTTTCCCTGTCTGACGTCTCCCTTCACCCACTTTTCTGTTGTCCGTCCCCCAGGGAGGAGGTCACATGTAGATCCTTGTAATCAGTTCTCCCCTTTCCAACCCATTCTCCCTCTACGCTCCCAGTATCGCCACTTCACTGGTCCTGAAGGGATCATCCACCCTGGATTCCCTGTTTCCAGTTCCTATCTGTATGGATAAGGAATCTTATCAAATCAAGTTAGTACCTAGACCAGTGGTTCTCAACCTTCCTAGTGCCGCGACCCTTTAATACAGTTCCTCATGTTGTGGTGACTCCCCAACCACTAAATTATTTTCATTGCTACTTCGTAACTGTACTTTTGCTACTGTTATGAATCGGGCAACCCCTGTGAAAGGGTCATTTGACCCCCAAAGGGGTTGTGACCCACAGGTTGGTTCTTATGAAATATGAAACCCAACTGAGGCAACGCAATACCATTCATTCACTGGTTTAGAAAGCTGGCCAAAAATTGAAACCTAATGCATGTAATTGATATTCTTTGGTATTATTTAAAGAAGTTTAAATATCATTCAGGTAAATGTTATCTTAATACCCTTTGGGACACATGGGAAGGATAGATGTGCACAGTAGACATTTTCCATTGTAAACTTAGTACATGTAAAACTAACACAAAAGACTAATAGCCCTCATGAGCCAGCCTCCTCTAACCTGAGACCAGAACCAGATGGTACCCAGTTAGCATTACCACCTGTTCTGATCGCGATGGAAGGTATCAGAATGGGAGAAAAATGTAGTACAAACCTTGAACTCCTGAAAACAGGCCAGACTCACTGGACCAATAGGGACTAGAGGAAGCCCTGAAGCTACTGCCTTCAGAGAACTTTCAAACTTGGATCTGAATAAGTCGCCCTTCCGCCCAATAATAGACCGGCTTTACCAAATAGCAATCCCATCTATGAGTAACTTGCATCCTCATACAATTAATTACATGAGATCAATGGTCATTGTTACCCAAAAACTAGATCAGTGAAAACAGAATGGGACGAATGAGAATCCTGACCCATTGTGAAAACCATAACTAATGGCATGGACTAATTTATATAAAGGTTGCTAAGGGGGAATCTAATGTGCGGTGTAAACGCTTACCTCTGACACAATAAAATAGTACTAAAACAATTTAGCACATGCAAAGACAAGAAACCTCTGTCCCAGGTGCCTTTTGCCTTCCAAGAAAGCCAGGACTTTGGACTACCAATTCCTCAAGGGAAGGTCCAAGCATGATGGTCTCTCTCAATGACGTCTGGCGGCTATTCAGAGAGTGAGCCAAAGGGAACCCAGTTCAAATGAGACGAAGTAAAAAGCTAAGAGGAGATTGAAAAGAGGGACCCCTGGAAGCAAGTGATCCCAGTAGCCTCACTGTTGTAGCCACTGCTTGTTTCCTAAAGCTTATTATTGTTGCTCCCACCGTGTTTCCGAACAGCAGCAGAACCTTTGAGGTGAAAGTGGTCTCTGTGTCAATTTCCGAAGCAAAGAAAGGCAAAGCAGGCGACATTCATAACCGTTTTTGCAGTGGCCCTGCCCTTCTCTTGCTGCCGGGAAGAAGAAGTGCATGGAACCTGAAGGAGCCTGAGTGGATGGCTGCTGAGAAGTGGGGTCAGGATCCTTGTGGCTGCAGCACAAGGGGGGAGCCAGATGAAGGTGAAATTCTAGCAGGTTGGATCCCCACCGAGCTCATCACATTCTGAGCCCCTGATTACAAGGTCTCGTGGATCTAGTCTAACAGGTGGTTCCAGGTAGTACGGGAGATTTACCTGGAACCGCCAGAGCCCCCCGATGTCATCCGTCCTTTCAAAACAGACGGGCTCCAAGTCTTCCTCCAGGCAGCACTTGATGGATGACAGCCCACTCACGCCTCCCCCAATCACGGCAACTCTTTTCTTGGCCATGGTCTCCAGAGATCTTCACGGGGCGGCTCAGGCAAGGCCACTCGTCCTGAAGAAAAGATGGAAAGACGAAGAAGAGGGGAAACTACACGTTAGTCACTACTTCTGGAGGAAGACGTTAGCTGATAGGCCACAAGAGATGCTCTGGAGAAAAGCGATTCTGCTGGACTATCACAGCAAGGGCATTACTATTTCACTTTCGACTGTGGTTATCGGACCCCACCTCCTCTCCAGAGCACCGGGCGATAGATGCCAGCTGCAGGGACCTGGGAGCAAGGCTGGACTTTGGCCTGTGGCAGACGAGTATAAGGCAACAGCAAGCGCACAACAAACAGTCAACAGCAAATGAGAGGGAGCGAGTCAGCTCCACCTCTTTCAGCCAACACCCAGTCCCCCCACAGCGAGATGCCGACTTGTTCTCCCCCCCGGAAAGAAAACCAGCTGAACCAGTGTTGAGCAGCGGGGTGCGAGGACCCAGATCATCTCAGTTGTTCAGCTGCAGTTGCCAACACCTCCAGGACGTCCTCTACACCCCTTCTGAGCCCTCCCCGTCCACTTTCAACTTCCTGGTCTTGCCTTAAAGTGACACACTCCTGCTGGCGCAGGCAGTCCGTGTCCACAGCTCCAGAGTAAGCGTTTCTCCAACCCCTGTAAGTGGAGAACCCCTGCCTGGGCGGGGGAAAGTAACCCTGGCCCGCTCTCTCACATCCCCTTCCCCCCGCCACCCAAACCAGCTCCCCGATCAGATTTTTGGATTTAACTACCAGTAGAAATTCCTTTAAAATCTCCTTTATCTTCTCTCACCATCAATACCGGCTTACAGTGACCCTGTGTGGGTTTCCAAGACTGGAACTGTTTACCGGAGTAGAAAGCCCAGTCTTTCTCCCCCTAAGATGCTGGTGGTTTTGAACTGCTGACTGTGTAGATTGCAGCCCAAAGCATTCCACTACCCACCCGGACTCCATTCCTTCATCTTATTATTTAGTGAATAATAGTTTCAGAAAGTGCTTTTTATCACATAGTTACATCAACAGGCAAAGCTACAAAAAGATCCGTTTTGAGTAGCGATACCAGGAGGGTAGGGGGAGGGTGGGGGGAGGAGGGGAGAAAGAGGGAACTGATCCCAATGATAGAAGCATAACCCCCTCTACCCCCACCAACTCACCACCACCACCACCTCTAGGGGGCGAACAACAGAAATGTGGGTGAAGGGAGGCAGTAGTCAGTGTAAGATATGACAATAATAATTTATAATTTATCAAGGGTTCACAAGGGTGGGTAGGGGAAGGAGGGGGAGACGAGGAGCTGATACCAAGGGCACAAATAGAAAATAAATGTTTAGAAAATGATGATGGAAACATATGTACAAATATGCTTGATACAATTGATGTGTGGATTGTTATAAGAACTATAAAAGCCCCCAATAAAATGATCTTTTAAAAAATCCATTTTAAAAAGCTTAGACTTTTCTAAATATTAAATCAAGGGTCCTTATCAAGCTAAAATGGCCAAAGTAATGACTGGAAAATTTCACACACTTGGTCAGCATCAGGGCCCATCCAGGCCAGGATTCTCTTTTAATGACGGGATATACCCTGGTACAAGCTGTGATTTGTATCTGGTGCCACACTTGTTCAACTGCTATACTCCCTGGGTCAACTTGGCTCAAGCGGATACCTATTGATGCCATGCCTGAGGTTTCCCTTAAATTCTCACCAGGAAAGCAAACTTGAAGGCAGGTCTTTTGTCGAAAATAAAATAACAAATCGCTATCCCTTATTGAGGGCTTACCTTGTGCAGTTCAAAAGTGTTAATGTAATCCATGTAATCTTCCCAGATACCCTAGGAGGCATCAGCCCCATTTTGCACTTGGAAAACAGAGGCAAAGCGAAGTTTATGTAACCCACAGATGATCATGGTGCAGGCTATCTGTGCAGGGCAAGGTGAAGCTTCAGGTCTGGGCTTATCGTGTGGCCCCAGGTCTGAGCTCTTGATCTCTGCACACACTGATCCCTGACAAAGTGCATTCTTACACAAGTCCTTCTTTCCCTTCTCTCGTCTCTACCTCATCTCTTCTTGTCTTGACCTTTCTCCGTTTTAGTTGGCTTTCAGCTAAGTGGTAGTTCGCAGTATTTCACGTACTTTAAAATGTTGACAAATAAGTACTTAGTTTGTGGCATCCTTTCCTCCATCAGCAAGAATCCTGTTTAATATGTGGTTTGAACTATATGAAAATATAGTAAATACACACATTTGTGTATTTGTACACGAGCACACATATAGATAGCATTCTGTGTTGCTGATGTCTTAAATTTCCACTAACATTTGACACCAACATTACAGAATGGGAGAATAAAGGGAAGAGGGGTAAGGACGGAGTTTTTTATATTATTTCCCAGTCACTGAAATTTTTTGAAACTCTTAAAAAAAACTTTAAACAATACAATTTATTCTCTTATAATTCAAGAGGTCAGACGTCAAAGATCAATTCCAATAGGCTGAAATCATGGTGTTGGCAGGGCCAAATTCCCTCTAGAGACTCAAAGGGAGAGTCTTTTTTGTGTTGTTTTTGCCATGTTCAGCTTTGAGGGTTGTGTTCTTCGAATGCCTTGGCTGTGGGCCTGTCCTCCAGCTTCAAAGTCAGCGGCACGGTATTTTGCTTTAGTCTCCACTTCGCCTTCTTTAAAATCCCTTGGCCTCTGTGATAGCCAAGGCCCTGTGTCATCGTGACTGGGCAAGAGGGCTTAATGGTTTGGTATTGAGACCTAGTAGCCCCCTAGGATGAGATCTCTTTGGCTTCAATATAAGTAGACCCTATTGCAAAAATCGTGTTTGCTTTTTGCTAGGTCCAGATCCTGCATCTGGCTCATTGACTGCTGGTTCTTAGGACTTGAGCCCATTACTACCGTATTACCTCCTGATCTTGGAAGTCATCACCAGGATCTTACCTGTGAACTTTGGATTCATTCACTTTTGTTATCAGAAGTCTGTTGTCTGACCTGCCAATCTTGTTTCCTTTAACTTTTTTACATTGGTTGCTAATATAGTTATTTCTGAAATCTTATTAATCTCTTAGTAGCCACATCTAGATCATGAGAATACTTTGCTTTTTAGATAAAAACTTGTCATTTACTTTTGATCTGAATTCTCTCCTTATTTTTATCTAGAAATCATGTATATAATTAATGTTCTTACAGACCACAAATAGACTGCCTTTTGTCATCAAATGCCTTACCCTTTATGGCTGCTTTCTTTTAGCATAAAAATGGCTATATACTTACACCCCCCCATATATATATGTGTGTGTGTGTGTGTGTGTGTGTGTGTGTGTGTGTTAGACAGGGTTCTCTAGAGAGATAAAACCAGATTGCTGATAATTTTATATATTTATTTACAAAGATAATTAGATACATAACACAAGAAATGAACTGTTAAATTATATACAGATATATATATAATACAAGAAGTGAACGGTTGAATTATAAAGTAGTACAAATGGCTCAGTGCAACTCATTTCCGTGAGAGTTATGAGACACTAGCAGTCCTTCAATCTAGTCTGCTGCCAGATCTTCCTCTATTTATACAGAGAGCTAGGCTATCTCACCACAGCAGCCAGCCACAAGGCAGATCACCAACTGTCAACCAACCACCAGTCCCAATCGCCAGTCCCCAGCTCCAGAGATGTCTTAAAGGGACCTCAACTTATAGTGACACAGTCCACAGGCTAGGTGTTCCACAGGTAGTGTAGCCTGTAAATTGAGGCACAGAACAAACAAGGCAGCCGCACACTGGTCCGATGATCACAGAGCGAGAGACAAGAAAGGCGAGGCTCACCGAGCCATTTATCTCTCCGCCCTTCGGTTAATCCCACTTGTGTTTATTGGCCAGGCTGGCACAATAAACAATCTCAATATCTATATATATCTTGAGATTTCAGTAAAATTAGCTTCCTATCCTATCCCACTCCGGGATTTATGTGGAGGGTCCAAGAGTCGTTTAAGAACAGAAACATCTTACATGCAATCATTCATTTGTAAAACAACTTTATTTGTTGGGTGTAGGAGAAAGCAGCTAACTTGTTGAATGTAACAGCTGGATAGGATTTTGGATATTCTCACTTGGGGTGGGGTTGGGTATCGAACAAGAGATTGAATACAGATTTTAGGAGGATAGAGATGTGGTAGGTAGGTACTGCTAACTGTTCACAAAAATCTGTTCTCATCTAGGTGATTCTGATGTTAGGTAAACATTCCACATTAATAATAAATATATAAATAGACCCCTAATGAGGAAATAACATTATTATAGAGAGCCCCAATATTATATTGCTAATCATGTATTTTCAGGCCCTGGTAAGCCAGGCCTCTTTTTAAAGGCTACCTGAACTTGAGATTTTGTCTTTTAGAGGTGTATAACATTCTCCATAAGCCACATCAAGGCACAGCAGGTAAATTCAATTTGGAAAACACACTAAGTGAAATGCTTTACCTTAAACAGACTCATTGCACGGTAAAGGAACTGAGGTACTCCTTTGGCCTAAAGCTGAAATACTCCAGTGTGAGAAGAAAATGACCGCTATCCCAAGGTCATGGATTTAGAGGTCACTGCATTTTGATTCAAATCTCTTGCCTTTGTGGTTGTCCAATAATTGGCAACTTAAGACTACCATTCATTTTCTATTTTCTTTGCTTTTTGTGACATGTCTTAGTATGGGCAGACTAGAGAAACAAACACACATGTATACGAAAGTTTTATATACAAGAGCAATTGAACATTGTGAAAACATCCCAGCCCTGTCCAGATAAAGTCCATAAGCCCGATATTAGCCCATATGTCAGATACCAATCTGTAAAGCCCTCTTCAGACTCAGGAAACACATGCAATGACGTCGAATGTAGAAGACCACTGGCCAGTGGGTAGAAAGTCTTTGGATCCAGTGGCGTTGGAAACATCCTGGCGCTGACAGGGGTCTCTGCATCAGAGTGGGTCAATGTGTCTTGTCAGCTGCTATATGACCCCAGGGTGTAAGCAGAGAGTCTCCCACCTCCAAGAAGGAAGTAACGGAGTTCCCAGAATTCTGAGGAGAAGGCCATGCCCACACAGAGGCCTCATGGGCTATGCTCTGATTGACAGGCTAGACTCCACCCCTACACTCTTAATCCTCAAATTGACAAATGATTATATATCTACCACACTGCGTAAGTGAACGTTCCGTGTATTTTAGTTTTAAAAGCGTTCGATATATGAGGGGGTACTCCCAACAAAACAGAATTGCGCTGGGTGGAGCAGAGATTTCAAAGTACGCAGTTTTTCCCACTAGGCAAGCCACAAGCGATTTGCCCTGAATTAGTGCAACCAGTGGGGTCGCCTGGGAAGTTTCT